GATTGGAAACTTTTAGGAGTTTTCCAACTTTTATGTTTTGAGAATTTTGATTTTTGAATATAATCAACATTACTATGCTTAAATATATATATCTAAAAAATATTTGAAAAATCAGGCATGTTAACAAACTTTAATCCAAGTAATTAGGGGTGAGTATGGATTGAGTTGGCAATCGAACAATCAACTCGATTTGGAAAAGGGAAAAATTCATAAGTAAGAGGTTATGTATCCCATATTTCAAAATTAAGAAAACAAGTTTGGAATTTCAAAAATCAGATTTTTATTAAAATTTATTATGATTTAATTAATTAAATATAATGATGTCATAATTATACAATTAATGGTCACATATACATAATTAATTGGTCACGGATTATTTTTGAGATCACAAATCAAAAAATTTATAGGTCACGAATTATTTCAAGATCACAAATCAAAAATATTATACGTTACGAATTATTTCGAGATCACAGTTCAAACATTTTATAGGTTACGAATTATTTCGAGGTCACAAATCAAAAATATTATACGTCACGAATTATTTCGAGGTCACAGTTCAAACATTTAGTCACTGATTAAAAATTTTGGAGGTCACGGACTATTTCGAGATTACAAATCAATAATTTTATAGGTCACAAATTATTTTATTGGTCACGGATCAAAAAATTAAAGGTCACAGATTAATTTTTAGTCACAAATTGTCGAATTTTGAGGTCACGGTTAGTCCATTGTCAAACGCCGGAACTTCACCGTCCGACCACCTTTCTGCCCGGCAAAGCCCTATTCCCACCTCACCTCACCTCACCCACCACCACCACCACCATATCGTCGCCCCACCGGCAACAACCAAAAGCCACGCACCTCACAACACCACGACAACCTGCACCACCACCGGTAAACAATCACGACCAAATCACCATAAAAAACCACCCAACACCATAAAAAACCACCACAGAGGTTGTTGCACATCAGATAACCACTACCCATAGATCTGAACTACACCACCACCACCACCACTATCACCATTTGCAAACCGCCAACAAAAACCACCTAAAACTTCGACCGACCAGATCGACTTGAAACCACCCCCATCGCCACTACCAGTTTCACCAATCACCACCACGACACCTCAAATCCACCATGAGAAAATAGAAATGAATTTCTGCAAATGATCGTCGCGGAGGTGGCTTAGCATTAGGAGCAGGTTTAGCCTTAGCAGTTGGCATAGCAATGGTAGCAGCGGCCTTAGGCTTGGCAGCAGGAGCTGGCTCCTTCGCAGTAGATTTGGAAACAGAATGGATCCAGTTCTCCCAAAAAAGGCAGCATTGCAGATTTGGCAGTAGACCTCCGCCTCTAGTCGCCTCGCTAATCCGTTTACAGCAAGCCTGGGCAAGTCTTGGAGCGGACGCCACCGGTTGTTGGGAGCTGTGTTGCCGGCGATGAGGTGTAAGGAGAGAGAGAGTGAAGGGCGACGAGTTGGTATAGGGAGAGAGAGTAGATATGAAGAGAGAGATGAAAGATTGAATTAATTAATTAGAGTTTGTTATTTTATTAAAATATTAATTAAAATAAAACATCTGATTTTTGAACAATGAAACCTTCCATCTGATTTTTGAATATGGATCTTGAAAAGTAGGCTTGTGTGTAATTTCCACTTTGGAAAATGACCAATTCAAACTAGGGATAATTAGGTCAATTACGGTAAAACAAGATGTAATTAGAATACTACACTTAAACTTAATTATATATCTAATTACAGTATTAGTTACGCCGTGCTCAAATCCATCCGGAAACATAGGCAGATAAACCATTCCCTCCTGTCTAAATTTTTTTCTCTTCTTAAAATTTTTATTATTAACATATTTTCGTTTGATATTGTATTTTACACTACAGTTATCCATTTTGAGCAATTCAAAAATTTGTTAGAAGCTTGCAACACGATCATGGTAAATATGTTATTGACGATATTTAAAAATAAAAAATTATCTTACATAAATTATTATGTAAAACTATGATTATTAATTTTTCTTTTTAATTTCTCCTAATTGATATCAATGTAAAAATTTA